GTGGACATGTTCTCAGCTGAGGCTGAACGAGGCTGTGCTCCGCCTTCTTATTGCAGCTCTCACACCAGTGCCCTTTTTTTCCAGTCAACTTAGTGCCAAGTGTTCTGTTTTGTTTTGGCTTGGTTGGTTTGCATTTTTGTGCTTTCTGGTTTGGTTTTGTTTTTTTGTCATGTGAGGAAAGGAAGGCTGACGGGAGTCTTAGAGAGAAGGTGATACATTTAGGCCACAGTTAGAGAGTTGTTGGCATGAGTTCAGTGTGGCCTAATGGGTAAGGAGTTGCACTGCCAACTTTAAGGCAGGCAGTTCTAATCCACCAGCAGCTCTGAGAGTAAAAGATGAGCAATCTCCTCCCATGCATTTTGCAGCCTCTGAAAACCCACTGGCGAGTCAGCTATGAGTTGTTCCAACTTGGTGGCAATAAATTGAGTTAAATCATGACACACATAAAACAAAGTGATGTGTTGACTTGCTGATGAAGTTGCCTCCACTGTCTCTCAGAAACCTAACTCTATTTCCCTAAGGGTCATTGGTTCGATACCTCTAGTGACTTAATGAATCATTACTGTTACACGTAACAAGAATCCTGACCCATGAGTTGTGCCCATTCAGAATCTTCTTTTTCCTGATTGCTGGAATGGTGATAATCTTGCCCACTGAACTGAAGGCTTCACTTGATAAGGACTCCACCCTCCACCGGCCACTATGGATGGGGGCAAAGTGTTTTCTTTGTTCCCCATATTTGCTAAACATTCTTGTTTTCTCATGTAAATTTTCTCAGGTTCCTTTGGAGATAGATCCTCCCTTTGCTACAGGGGAAGAAACTGAGGCTGGCAAGTCAAATCCCTTGGTCAAGGACACTACCGAGCTAAGAATGGTGATGAGGGGCATTGAGGCCAGGTCTGCTGGTCTGGAGAGCTGGACTTCTTCCCCAGTTAGGTTGCCTCCTTGCTCCTTCTGAAATCAGCAGGAATAAAATTGTAGGAACCACATTGTTTTTGCTTGTTCCAGACACTTTGATATGTAAAACCTTGGCACCAGCATCTATGAAATGATGCCCATTTTGCAGGAGATGAGCTTGAAGCTGAGGTAAGGGAGACTTCTCCAGATCCTCAATTGTCTGAAATATTAGAGTTGGGACCAATAGAACTTTCGGTTTCTTCAGTCCTGGGCATCTAGCGAGCACTTACTGTGTGTTGTATCTCAAGTGGTGGTTATCCTGTGGACTCATGGTGATCCTATGAACAATGGCTCTGAACCCTGCTCTTTCCTGAGCCAATTTCACTGTCTGACACACCTGTCCTTGTTGCTACAGTCACTGTGTTAGCCCATCTCATCCAGGGTCATCCTTTACCTTTCCAAGCATGATGTCTTCCTCCAAAGACTGGCCCCTTCTGAAAACATGCCTATAGTATTTGAGATGGAGTTTCAAAATCCTTGCCTCCAAGGAGCAACCTGATTTCACTATCTCCAGGGCAGACTTGTTTGTTTGGCAGCCCATTGTATGTTTAATACTCTTCTCCAACTCCACAACTCAAAGGCATCGATTCTTCTTCTATCATCCTTATTCATTGTCCAGCTCTCAGTGCATAGCAAGCAATTGAACAGACCATGACCTGGATCATGGTGTGTCAGGTAGCACCCACCAAATGTTTGTGGGGAGACTTAACTGCCCTGTACTGCATTTCTGCAACCAGGCAGGGTGGAGGGCAGGGACATTGCCTTGAAGCAAAAGCATACTGAGGGTGGGCTTCATGTCCAGCCCCCATGGCCACAGTTTTAATGGCTCTTGCCCTCTTGTTGGTGGTCCCATCACAGAAACCCCAGGTACCTTTTCTGTTCCAGAATATTCATATGCTGCAGTTTGGTGGTTAAGAAAAAATGACCCCGCCCATGAAAGGGCCCTTGTCATCCACTGAGCCCCAACAGGCAGGCTCTGCTGTGGTTTATCTGAGAAAGTAGCCTCTTAGGTGACCAACTTTCTAAAAAAGCAAGAACAGCCTTATTTTACATACTGGGAACTGCTTGCTTCTCACATGCTAGGTGGTCACCCCTATCGTTGGCAAATGAGAAAGACTTTGGCCCTCAGAGAACTCAGTCTGGAAGTGCCTGTCCTCCTAAGAGCTTGATAAGTTCCAGGGAGTATCAAACACCCAGACACCAGCCCTGCTTGCAGAAGGACCACGTATACTTTGGTCTTCTCTCATCTCAGGTACAATGGCCAGTTGTGCACGTTGTTGACTGTGCTTGGCGAGAAATCACTTCAGATTCTGTGCTGTCCTATTCACTGACCTGTTTGGGGCTGACCTGTCCAGTGAGGATCTCCAGCAGCCTTTTAAAAAAACAACAACAGGCTGCTCACTCCTCTTCTGGGCACCTTGTTCTGATTTTTGAGCTTCTCAAAGATTCTCAGACATCTCCATTACTTGCCCACTTGGCATTTGTTTCCCACCTGCATGGTGTATGTTTCCTGAGCTGTGAGATGCGTTATGTGCTCATTTAGCCATCTCACAAAGATTTTAAATAGCAAACTTTTTATTTGTTGGGTGTTGAGAATAGAGGGACTGTAAAGGAGAGGAAGGCCCTCAAAGAGATGGAATGACATACCGCCTGCTGCAGTGGGCTGAAGCAAAATAGAGATTATGAGGATGGGATGGGATTGGGCAGGTTTTGTTCTGTTTGTTGTTCAGTGTTACTGTGAGTCAGAACTTACTTAACGGTTCTTAACAACAATGGTACCGGTCCTGTGGGGCAAACAGGGTGACCAAGAAAACACCAGGCTCCTGGCCTCATAGAGTTTACAGTCTAAAGATGAAAACGTTTAGAGCTGTGAGATGTGATCTGAGAGCGGAGCAGGGTAGGGCGCTATGGGGGGGGGGGGCAGGCTGCAGGGTTGTGGGCAGCTACCTGGAAGACGTGTTGTCTCAAGAGAATCCTGGGTTCTGATGGGCCCCTGGGAAGAGCCCTTCTGGCCTTGAGAGCTGCTTGAAGGAGTGAAAGCCCTGAGTTTGGAAGGGGCTTGACCATTTGGATGAGGCTGTGCTGAAGAAAGTCCAAATCTAGTCTCAGACTACAGTTGGCCACCTTGAAGCTGGCCTTCCATGGCCAAGTCTTCTGTTGTTCATCCAGCTCCCAGAGGTGTGTTCCTGGAAGACTTCGTGAGGATGAGTCCCAGGAGCCTGACCTCACCGATGAGTGTGAAAAAGCAGAGTTTTGAACTCAGACGCTTGTTTGATTTATTGTCCTGCCTTTGACCAGCTCTTTGAAGCTGTACTTTGAGAGAAATTTGGTGTGAAGGGAAGGACTGGTTCCACGAAATGTATTAACATATGAGTAAGACCCACAGCTTTCCTTCCTTCTTTCCTCAGACATTTTGAGTATATGTTTTGTACCAGGTGCAGTGATAGGCCTGTGGGACATCAACTTGGTCTCTGCTCTGATGTCAATGCAGGAACCTGAGCTGGTTTTGGGGGCGTTTTTGGTACTATCATTCAGTCCTCTCACCGGCCTGTTATATATCTTTGTGTTGGAACCAACTCATAACTGACCTCCAGTAGATTTTCAGAGACAAGATTGCCCGTCTTTCTCCAATTAATAGATTCAAATGGCATGCCTTTGGTTGACAGAGTCACTCCTTACAACTAGGTCACTAGTGCTCACTTTATAGGGACTTACATGCCAGGATAGGACAACAAATACTCTTCCTGTGTAAGTCTTTGTACGGCATTTGATTAGGAATGCTGCTTGAAGTGGTGAGAGCAGCAGAGGTTTGATTAGCCATGTCTGCTCTGGATAGCTGAAGGGTATGTGGTATAGGAATATCATGGGTTTGCCTTGCTGCCAGAGTTTTCATCAAACAGCAGCACGGCATATTTGAGTGGTATTTTTGTTGTTGTTCTGACTCAATGTCCCATTTCTAGCAGTGGTGAGCTTGCCGCTGAGCCTTTTGATACTCCGAAGATAGAATTTACAGAACTCAAAGCCACTCCAGAGGAGATTGCCTAGCTTTCTCCCTTGGAGCAGTTAGTGGACTTGAGCTGTGTGCCTTTGTGTTGGCAGCACAACTCTATCCACTAAGCCACCAGAATGTCCTCCTAAGAGGGTGGGTCTAACAATATCTCTGTTTGGGGGGAAAGGGAAAACAGGGCTTTTCTGGGGATTAGTAACTTGCTGGGAGTCCCTTGGATTAAATTATTATTAACACAAAAGGTTGGAGAGTAAAGTTCACATAGAAGCACCTTGGAAGAAAGGCCTGGCAATCCACTTTCTTGAAAATCAGAAATTGAAAACCTTGTGCAGCACAGCTCTACTCTGACACACGTGGGGTCACCATGAGTTGTTGTCATCCCAAGTCATAGAGCTGCACTGCTGGTGTAGTGGGATCACGCAAGACTCCAAAAGTCACAGAGCTAGTGTGCTCCTGAGCCCCTGGATCCAGCCCAGGCAGTCTGAATTCAGGCTAGCAGCTTCTCAAGTAGAAGATTCCCCACCCACTTATATCCCTACATCTTTTCTTTCTTTTTAAAAAAATTTTGTGTGTGTGTGTACCGTCAAATCGGATCTGACAAGTACAGGAGGAGATTGTCTCTCCTTCTCCAGCAGAGCGTCTGGTGGATTTGAACCATGCACCTCTGGGATTGCAGATCCTACATCTTTTATGTTATTGGTACCCCGCCGCCTCGAAGCCTGAAGCCCTTATGTTTAACCCAGTGTTCTGCTCTGACCCATCTCACCCATTTGCTCTCTGATGATCATGACTGTGGGTGTTGGGCAGTATAGGCAGCCTGGGGTGGGAGGGGTGGGGGAAGGGGCTTGTGGGTGGCTCTGTAGACCATTCTCCCCTCATCTCTCTCCCTCTTTGAAAGGCAGTGAACGGGAACCTGGTAGGTTTCTGTCTCCGTCACACTGGCCCTGTCTGGCTGAGTCTCCCTGTAGTGTGCTTGTGGCTGCCACTTGTATAGACCACAACTAAACCAGCCTTTTCCTTCCTGGATTTTCCACAGGCGAAGTTGGTCCGCTACATTTGCAAGCAGCGACAATGCAAACTGAGCGTGGCTCCTAGCAAGAGGACCCCGGAGCTCAACAGCTACCCCCGCTTCAGCGACTGGCTGTACATCTGTAATGTGAGGCCGGAGGTGGTACAGGTAAGGGGCTGGGACTTGGGCCAGGCTGTGGGCCATGAGGGGTCGGGGACTTTGTGGACAGAGAAATCAGCAAATGGAAGCAGAGACCACGCACAAATCCAAGGGCTGTGTGCCCAGGACCAGGGGGAATGCGAGTTCTGTGAGGCAACTTACCTGGCTTCTTTTGTTTGCTCCATCACCTTGGTCCTCTGACCTGTGACAGTTCCTCAGTCTTCCTTGTTTTCTGTGACCCTGACAGTCTAATGTATTGAATCTGATAGGTCATTTTTATGTGCCATTGAGTTGGAAGCAACTCTGAGCTGACCCTTCAGTGGGTTTTTGGAAGCAGTAAATCACACAGGAGGAGATTGCCCATCTTTCTCCTGCAACTGGTGGATTTGAACCATGTACTTTTGGGTTGGCAGCACAGTTCCTTACCACTTGGCCAAAAGAGGTGGCTATGTAGGTGACCACAGCATCCAAAACTTGTCACAAAGTTGATTTCTGCTCACAGAGACTCTGCAGGACAGAATAGAATGGCCCCATAGAACTTATAGGCCATAATGTTAATGAGGGCGGCCTTAACTTCTCCCTGGGAGCCACTGATGAGTTTAAATTGCTCACCTTTTGGTTAGTAGCCAAGTGCTTAATCCCTGTACAAAGACTCCTTAGGTTGTTATTTTGTTGCTGTTGCTGTTGATGTTGGAACCAGCTGACCTGTCTCTGAGTTTTCAGAGGCAGCAATTCGCATGGGGGAGATTGACCATTGTTCTCCCATAGAGCAGCTAGTGGATTCGAACTGCATACTTTAGGTTGGCAGTGCAGCTCCTTACTGCTAGGCCATCAGCACTCCCGACAGAATTTCCTTAGATAAGTAGATCAATTGTATTCATTTAATGAATGAGTAAATATAGTCATGAAGTGGTAGAAGTCCCCAGGAGACTAGGATGTCTTTCTGAGTGGGTGTTGACACAACTTATTCCCAGCTCTGGTTCTTCAAAGGAGACCATACCCTAAGAGCACCCATCCCAGATACTCCCAGTGTCCTTGAGTTCATCTCTCTGAAAAGAGCCTTGGGAGATTGGTTACCCAGTTAGGAAGGCCTTCTCCAGGAAGGCTGAACGGCAGAGAAGGGGGACCCAGCACGGCATAGAGTCCTTCTGCTCACCAACACCCTTGTCAGTCCCAAACGGACCAGGCTTCTGGGAGCCTGACCACCCTTGCACTGGGTCTTGCATCTGGTTATTGGGCTGTACCAGTGGTGTCCCAGTGTACCCTGGGGCCTCCTGCTGCTCATTTTATCTCAAAGCTGACACAGTACCTCTGTCTGGTGTTAAGTGCTGGGCACATGTTGTCTCACTGGGATGGCATATCCTAGCATCCCTGTGAAGCAGGTCCTATTGTACAGTTGAGGAAGCTGGGGCGTGATGAGGGACAGGAACCCACCCAGAGTCCCAGAAACCCAGGAGCAGAGTTCAGATCCCCTGAGCCAGACTCACCGAGGCTTCCTTCCCAGCCACTGCCCTCGCCTCAGTCTCAGGGATGCCTTGGATTTGGGCCTGAGAACCTGGACAAACCAATGTTGGTACCTTTACTGTTATGCCTGTTCCAGACTTCATATGGATTCCTCCAGTTTTCCATCAGTGTCCTCCTCCTGTTCCAGGATCCCAGCGTGTATTTAACTCTCTTGTTGCCCGAGTCTCCTCTGACCTGTGACAGTTCCTCAGTCTTCCTTGTTTTCTGTGACCCTGACAGTCTAAAGGCTGAGCAAGTGTCTTATTTTTTTACTTCCCCAGCTCAGTGTCTACACAGAAAAATCAACTCCATACAAATGTGGATTCAACCCGATAGGCTCTGCTCACTTTCCTTTCTCAATGAAATTCTTGCTTGCAGCCATTACCTTATTTCTGTATGACCTAGAAATCGCCCTTCTCCTTCCCTTCCCATGAGCCATTCAAGTTACCAATCTTAAACTCAAGCCCCTAGTAGCCCTCTTTAACTCCCTCCTAGCCTTAGGCTTAGCATATGAATGAATGCAAAAAGGATCAGAATGAATTGAATTGATAATTAGTTCAATAAAAACAAATGATTATAGACTGTTCCCTAGTCTGGATTTGTCTGCTTCTCTTGGCTAATGTAATGTTCACCACTGTTAAGTTTCTATCCTTCTCTCTTTGCCTTTTTTTTTTTTTTTGGAAAGTCACTAAATCTAGTCCACCCTTCGGATTGAGGGAAGTGGGATTAAGCTCAGCCCCTGTAGAGGTTGTATTTACACATATTATTTGGAATTATTTTGTAGTTCCACTCCTCTGGGGTAGTACTTACACAAATTCAGAATTATTTTGTAAGAAAGACTTCTCTCTTCCCCATTGTTTATTTATTCACTTGGTCATTTATTTCTATCAGTAAGGATTCATGTCTGTTCATTTTGTACTTTGGGTTATTATCCTGTATTACATTATTTACTCTGTTGGTTATATTGCTCCAGTTCTGGACATTGTAGATTCTTGAGGGTTGGGTCCTGCTTTCTTTGACATGCTCCATCCTTGTGATAGTTTGTTTTTGTTGGTTTGCTTTGAGCATTTCCTTACTTTCTGGTACAAAAAAGACACTCCAGGCACAGCTTGTCTTTCCCCTGCCCCAGTCCTAGATTCAGCTATTTCTCCAAAACCCAGTGTGAACCACTGACATTTAAAAAAGCTTCTTATTTTTTAGAAAATATATTTTCATACAATAAACAAACGAACAAAAGAGATAAAGTGGAAGTAGTCCTCTGACTCCCCTCTCCCCAGGAGAACCTGTATCTGCTTATCTTCTGGACCTTTTACAGATTTCAGGTAATGATGTGGTTTCTTTTAGCATAAATGAAATTGGATTAGACATGCAATTCTGCAACCTGCTGCTTCCCAGTCATCTATATTTTCTGTGATTTCACACATGGTTGTCAAGAACATCTTTGTAAACCTGTGTCGTCTGGAGGACAGAATCTTGGGAGTGAATATACCAGGCTGAATTTTGATCAGTGTTGCTAAGGTGCCCTTAAAAATTAAAAGTACAATAAGACAATCAAAGCAGGTTTTACTTGACTTTTTTTTTAACTCTTTAAAAGCAGCCAGTGTAGAGAGTCTCATTCCAGGTGTTCTGGAGCAGATAGTAAATGTTTCCCGAGTTTGTCCTTGATTAGGTTGGTAGTTAGAACCTCCCCTGTGTGTTTCCTAAGAAGTCATGCAGGACCGTGCTAGAGAGGAGGAGGAGAGGCCAGACCCTTGTCTTACTCCTGTATTGTTGCTGTGGTTTGTGTTGTCTCTATGATACTGTAACCTCAGTCCAGTCTGCCTCCTTCCTGACTCAGGAACCTCCCAGGATGCCTAGGTTTTGTGAAATTGTATGTCCTCTGAAGAATAAACTTCAAGACCACATGCATGGTTCACGTGTGTGTATGTGGGCTAGCATCTGTACTACAATTCCCTTCTTCCTCTCCAATATTGCCTTCCTGTAGGAAGGGTTATCTAAATAGTATTGATAATATTTCACTATAGGGTTATCTGAATATTATTTCAGCTTGTATCTTTGGGCTGGGTGGTGTTTGTGGTCAAGTTTCAATGACATACTGCTTTCACTGGATGAAGTAGTATATCTAATTAAATTAAAAATGAAAATAAAAAACCATTTACATACCACTCCCCAGTTGCTCCATAGTACATTTCAGTTGCTGTGTACAGCTACATATGGCTTCTTGTTGTTGGCCAAGTTGCTGCCAAGTTGGCCCCCAAACATGGTGACCCCAGATGTTATAGTGTAAAACTCTCTATGAGCTGTAATATTTGTAGAAGAGAAGGGGTGGAGATGGAAGAGGACACAGGACAGTGGTTGCACTTCCAGGCCTCAAGTGTGAGTTTGAGATTCTGCACTCATTTCCTTCTGTCTCTGCCTATGACACCTCTCAGCCTCCTGCAGTCCTCAGCCTGCCTTGGGCGTCCCTGACATGTGTGATGTCTGATTGTATGACTCCTGATATGTGACTCTCTCTATATATGCATGCTGGCAATAGTAAGTTGGCTGGTACCTTAATTTATTTAGTGACAGTCACCCCTTCTATCTTGAGAAGCACTGTCCAATAGAACTTTCTGCAATGAGGATGTTGTTAAGTGCTGTCAAGTCAAATATGACTCGTAGAGACCCTATGAAGAACAAATCCGAACTCTGTCCTATCTTGTGTCTTCCTCACAATTTCTGACACACTCAAGCCCGTTGCTATAGTCACTGTGTCAGCCCATCTGGTTGAGGGTCTCCCTCTCCTTTGCCCTCTCTTCACCTTTCCAAGCATAATGTCCCTTTCCAAGGAATAGCTTTTAGCAACATGCCCAAAGTATGTGAGATGAAACTTCACCATCCTTGCATCCAAGGAACACTCCGGTTTCACTTTCTCTAAGACATACCTGTTTATAATTTTGGCAGTCCATAGGATAGTCAGCACTCTTCTCCAACACCACAACTCAAAGGCATTGATTCTTCTGTCATCCTTATTCATTGTCCAACTCTAAGATGCATAGAGCAGGTGGGTGGAAGAACTGTGACTTGAAACAGGCACACCTTAGTCTTTAGACTGAAGCCATTGTTCTTCAGGACTTTGGTGAGTCCCCTGATAGCAGACATTCCTAATGTTATGTCTTCTGATCTGCTGACAGCTGGTATCAAGGGTGTTGATTGTGGATCTAAGCAAGTTTAAATCATCAACAATTTCCGTTTTCTCCATTTATCATGATGTTGCCCGTTAGTGAGCAGGATATTTTTTTCCTTGTTGTGAGATATAAGCCATATTGAAGGCTGCAGTCCTTAGTCCTCTCCAGGAAGTGCTTCAAGTTCTCCTTACTTTTCAGCAAGAAAGGTTGTATCACCCACATCAAAGCAAATTGTTGATGAGTCTTCTTCCAATCCTGATGCCACATTCTTCTTCATAAAGCCCAGTTTCTTGAATGGTTTGCTCAGCATACAGACTGAATAGGTATAGAGAAAGGATG